GTTTATCTTTACTCGTGCTCTTGTGATGCACGATACGTGGGTCGTACCACGAGGCGCCTATCTCATAGGTTTCGCGAACACATCCCGAAAAGATTGTACAAAGACGAAGCGAGGTCTCGTAACAGTTCCATCTTGTCTTACCTTCTAGAGTGTAGTCACGCAGGGACAGAAAATGATTTTAGAGTCATTTCTACTATTCCTGAGCGTTTCTGACGCGGATTCCGGAAGCATCTCCTGTCTATTGCGGAAGCTATCTATATCCGCCACCTCGAGCCAGAATTGTGCGCACAAAAACAGTTTCTACGTCCTTTACTTCTACCGTGGCCTGCAACTTTGACTGTGGTTTCCCCTGTACATACTTGCCACCTTCAAGGACTCCGTGATTTATTGATTTGTTCTTGTTGAAATTAAACATTCTTTGCAAAACGCAGCCTAATCCGGCATATTTAGCACGTTCTCATCATCATGTAATGTTTGAATCTGATGAGAATTACCCAAAAGAATTCTTCACTCAGATTCTGCCTCCCTTGATACATTCGCTCGAAGCGACAATAGCGCACCTGGTGCCACATCTATCTCACTCAATCGCCGCCTCGAAACCACGGAAAAAGGCGCTCAGACGACCACACAGTACTAGAAACCTTGGGAACCACGAACCAAGTCGTCATCGCGACCGATAGCAGCATTCGCAGCCCCACCGCCCACATCCGCTTATCTAATGTATCGACTGATGCAACATCGATAACACCCACCCTTCCGAATGACCAAAGAAATTCGCAGCATTCTAAAGACTGATCCACCTATGCAGCCGTTGCTGCTCGGTATAATGAAAGTGCAATCTAAGTAGCCTCACTCAATACAACCGCAAAATGGCTCAAGAAGCAGGTGCAACTTGCAGAAATATCACTAAACCCCTCGATAACCGTGCTTCCCACATCACGAAGATTAGGCAGAACTACAGAGTCTTGACACTTCTACACACCAATGTTCCGTAGTCCAAGGCAAACTCCTTAAGTGATACACAGCTGGATGAGTTAAATCCATGAAATTTCTTTTGTGGTAACATCAGAGTTCAAGCCAGTCCGACTAATATGCTGCGCAGCACTAGAAAGCTAACTTTGAATCATTAAGAGGAGTCCCGGCTAATGTAACATTGGGATCAACAGGTGATGTCTAGTCAATGTTTTTGTCGGTATACCGCACGCGGATTGACAACAGTGAAATACGCATATTTCCGGATGTTCCATGGGACGAACGCCAGCGGGACAAAAATAATTCAAACGACCACCACATGGAGAGTAGCAAAGGAATTACTTTCGTTCACGGCGTGCCCGAGCTACCGACAACCAGAAACGTAGATGCCCACGCTCATGATCTGGAAGAATAGCGTTACAGACGTGAAGGTCTCTATGCGGGTGACCTCATACTTCAGTTGATTACACGGTTATCCGTGTCGCCAAAGTACAAAGGCAATGGCTCGAGGGTACTGAAACTAACGGTGCAGTCACAACAGATAGCCGTGAAGTTAATCCGTAGCTGGCAGTTATTATCCAACACACTTCCTTTGTATGTACGACTGAAGACAGCGGTTAGACAGCCGCAGCCACTTGCTATTCACGCGGAAACGACGCAACCCGGGACGCAATATAGCCACAACAGTGATTTAGAAATCTGTGCGCTAAGACCCGTAGCTATCGTGAAGAATGCCGATGAACAAGATACAGTAGGTGCAGGTGAGAGTAATAAAAGATTACATTCTTATCGAGATTTGGCAATTTACCTAATGCACAATTAGGTGCCGGCCTCTCATCGGTTGGCACAAGTCCACACCATCCATGTACTCCTAGTCAACAGCTTTTGACATCCGAGAAGCTTTGCTGTATGTACACCAACGCTCAAATTTTACTGAGTGAACTTTTCGAAATGAGACTGCGTCAAGGATCAAAAGGCTGCGACCTCATCGCTATAACGGATACATGGTTACGCCCTGACATAAATGACATGGAGATCGCACTGCCAGCCATGTCCATTGTTGGGCACGATCGATCCAACAAAGGTGGAGAGGTGGCTCTGTACTTCTGCAATGACCTCCAGTTTGATCTCATAAAAGATCCGGTCAGCACGATAGAAGCTTCCATTTGGTGCCGCCTACGTTTACAAGGCAACGACACCTGCTTAGTGGACTTCATTTACCGCCCTCCTTTCTCCATGCTAAAGATGGAGTTCTATCTGATATCCGCAATAAGGAAGGTGATAAACACAACTTATAGTTATATTCTCATTACTGGCAATTTCAACATTCAATCACTGGAATCCTAAGCAGCTGCCGGAGAACAGTTTAAGGCCGATCTACAAGAGTTTGTTTCCAGTTACCCACTGTATGACCACATCAACACTCCTACCCGATTCCGAGAAAGATAAGCCTTTGATACTTGATTGGATATTCACCAACCAAGAACTTATGGTCGAGAGGGTGATTGCCGACGTCCTCTTGAGACGCAACGGTCATGTAGTCCTACTCTTTTAATACATTTGCAATGCAGAATATTATATGGAAATTGCCGACGCAACAAAACGATTTTACCCTACGATATATTAGCTCGACTTGACGAGACAGCCAACTGGACCTTTCTGGCGGACGAGGCACCAGCTAGTGCATGGAAACCTATCCTCAGCTAGTTTAACTATCTGGTTGCCGAAGCGTCAGCGACTAAAACCTTCCGCCAGAGAAAAGTGGTCTCATTTCTGCGAAGCAGTACATGCAAGTGTTTAGCGGTGCGAAACAGACTGGCATATCTAAAAATCTCCCAAAGTACCGATAACTGGATGGCCTTTGCGACCCAGGTATTCACTGTGTTCAGCTTGTTTACAAGGACAGAATGGCGTACCAAGAGAAGTTGGCAGTGCGTGTGGCCTCAAAGCATAAGCTTCTGTATCAACACGCCAACAGTCTACGTAAGGTGAAACGGGGAATTCCTCCTATTCAAACAACGGACTGACCCACACGTACACCGAAGGAGGAGACGAATACCCTGCGCCTATAATATGCTACCACATTTCAGTACGATCACTAGCCACCCAACCCTAAAACGATGGTTATTTTACCCCAAAACTCACTCACATCTCCTTCACAGCAGAAGCTGTACTAAAAAAAGCTGTTGAGTAAGGGCAAGCACAGCTCTCTTGGAGTTGTTAATATACACACGAAATCGATAGCGGCAGTAGAAGAAAGTTTAGCTGAGCCTTTGGCTTGATTCTTTTTAACACCGTTTTGACGAAATGTACGTGACTGACATGTAGAAACACGGGATGATTAGTCCTATTCACAGGGGAGTTAGTCATTCTAGTCCAGCCAACTACCGTCCCATAATCTTACTAGTGGTTCTTTCAAAGTTCATGGAAGCTATCATTTCTGAAGCGCTAACGGCCTACTTGGAAGCATTTAGCTATTTCGCACCGGAACAGCAAGGCTTCTGACGAAATCGATCGTGCGCTACAAATCCACTACTAGGATGATCCAGCTGGACTGAAGTAGTAGACGTTGACACAGGAGTTGCTGTAGTCTTTCTTGATTTCTCGAAGGCATTCGACCAGTTAGACCATAAGATTCTGCTCTTCAAACTCTAGACCATTGGTATTGGTGATCCTCTCCTAGAATAGATCACCCTCTAGCTTCTACACCGGCGTCTAGAAGTAAGAGTGCGTGAATCCCTGTCAGATCCCATTCAAGTTGTATGTGGGGTACCAAAAGGATCGGTATTAAGACCGCGATTATTTTTGACTTATATTAACGATATTACATGCATCATAATCTCTGACTGCGTTCTTTCTGCTGATGACATCAAGGTGTGGAGGGCGATAAATACACCAGACGACATCATAGTAATTCAAGCCCATCTGGAAAGGTTATACGCATGATCAATCCAGAATCTACTTCGATTCAATGTGAACAAATCTGAAGTGCTGCGCCTACAACACAATTTGGTACACTCCTACAAACTCGGCAGCCAGGAGCTTCAAACGTCTTCTGTCGAGAAGGCTCTGGGAGTTTTGGTCCAGGTCGATCTAGGACGTTCGAAGCAGGCTGAGACGGCGTCTAGGAGGGGCATCCAACATATGGGCCTCCTGAAGCCTGCATTTGGGCAATTCAACCCTTCCATATTTCCACAACTTCTTGGCTCATACATACAGTCACATTTGGAATACGCGGTACAGATCTGGCATCCATGAGTAAAGAGAGATCTCACCGCCTTGGAGATACTCCAACGGCGGGCAATCAAGAATGTCTAGGATCTGTATAATTTTCCGTATTAACGAACGTTAAAGTACTTGGGATCTTCAACGGACAGTATCGGCGATTGCCCGTGAACCACATTTTGACTTGCCCAAATTTGCGAGATGCCAACCACACGTACCGCTACTTACTAGAGATCAGTCACAACAGCAATTTGAGAGGTCACAAGCTCAAATTAGCAGAGCAGCACAGTCAACTGGAATGCCGTCGGAATTTCTTTTCCGTACACTTTTTCCCTACATGGAGTGTCCTACCTGACTCTGTCATATGTGCTCCCACGCTGGCAGAGTTAAAGCCAGAGTTGACCATGCACTCATTTCGCTACACCATCTTATATGACTTCATTCCCTACGGAGAACCACAAATGTTTGTAAACGATTTCACTGGCGGTCAAGACACAGATTTCGTTCCAACTATTTCACCTCTTCTATGGGTACACCAGCAGGAGACACAATTGCTACTAAAATTCCATTTGTCGTCATTCAGTATGGATTTATCTTGGATTTATAGTTTCTACTACATATACTTCAGTGAGTTCACTGGTGTAAAGCTAATTTCGCTAACCTTTTTATATTTTCAGTTTCACCATAACCGTAAAAACCATTATTCCATTATTCTATTAGACACTGAGTATGCATATATAGACATGCTAAACGTTTCTCAGTTTCTCTAATAATAATCTCCACGTCTTGTATGCATACTTTAGAGACGTAACTGGAGTGGAACTGCTTGTTCAAGAACACTCAAATCTCCGTGATGAACTCGTCACACGTACGCAAGCCATTGACTCATGCTTGCAACTGGGACGAACACTCCTTCAAAACGACTCCGGCTCTGGAACCTCCCCACTCATTGTGGTGCTGCCCAATGATGAAGTTCGCGAGCGATGCGTTCAGTTAGCTACCGGGCAATTACTTGTCCAGGAGTTATGGCGAGAGCGATGGGACCGATTGCATCTCCTACTAGAAGTGCGTCAGTTTGCACGGGATGCAACCAGTGCTGAGGCTTGGTTGGCTTCCAGAGAACTGCAGCTGGAAATCGCCAGACGTCAACTAGGCGAGACACTGTCCGAAACGCTCATGCTTTTGGGAGCCCATTATGCTTTCGAACAAACAATCGCGGTGGCAAACGAGCGTTTTGGTGCCTTAAAAAGGTTAACAACGGTTAGTTTATTGCTGAGGTTTCGTAGTTAAACCTTTCTGTTTGTAACCATCTGTGATGTTGTCACATTGCTCCCTACTCTTTCTACTCGCTGTTGATTGGTCATGAATCTTATGTCCACTTAACGGTCATTGGACGAATGCGTACTTGCTACCGATTGGCTTGTGTGAATGGTTTAAGAGTCATAACCATTGTTACGTGTTGATTGTGTCCATACACCCGTTTAGTCTACTGAGTTCCTGTTCTGCTTCCACGGACACCACCACTAAAATAGTTAAGTGTGCAGAATTGGTAGGGTGTCCTCGGTACACGGTTGGCTGCGGATCTTAAGCAGGGATAATCTTTGGTTGTATCCTAGGCTTTTGACTACTATGAAATACAGTTTAATGCGCTTCCCCTAAGGTTTGAAAAAGCAACTGATTTTCGCATTTACTCCTACAAATTTCCGTGATCCCATTTCACTACATTCACACTACATTCACTCACAAGCCCCAAGCAAGTGCATTGAAACACAGACATCTATACCAAATGTGACCGTACTCTACACCATTGTGAAGCATTCGAAGCTTCTGCTAACAAGCAGGTAGATTTTCTCTCAGGATAGGTGCAGTTGTGATTATGCGATCATTCTAAGCGTGTTCTAGCTTCGTTTATGGGATGCGCGCTGCAACGTTCCAATTATTTGTCAGCCTCAAGGCAATAAGATCACTTCATAAAGTTTCTAATGTGCGAACGTATTTACTTGCCCTTAGGAGGTAATAAGCAGTTTATCTCATTGGTTCTCTTAGTTACCGAGATGATTACACTTCTGTTTTAATGTAAAACTTCTTGCGGTACGTATCGTAGAGTTTACATTTTAGCACCAGCTGAAAATTTCACGTTTCGGCTATCAGAGCACAGCCTCTATGCTTGTTACTTTAGGTACAATAATAAATAATAAACAAATAATCTGTATATCCTACGGCCATGCGAGGAGTTTTACCCTAGAAGCAATAGATAGACAGAGTTACATCCTTCTACTGTTATTACATAAGAATTACTAACAATATGAGCATACATTTCGTAGTTGTGTAACACGAAGCAATCCGAATTGCTTGGCTGATTTTTCGATCTGCCGGTGAAACTTACTTCTTCACAAGCATATGACAGCTGTTCGGACCGGGAAAGAAAATGTAACGAAAGGGGCTGTGGTTGTATCGCAGGCTTTTGACTAGTATAAGATACGGGTTGAATGTGCTTCTCCTAAGGTTTGAACTAGCACTCAGACTTTATACGCGTGTGTTCACTTAGCTCGGACACATCGATAGCCTTCTCGAAAACGTTATCCAGTATTTGCAATGTTTCAATCATATTAACCGCGTTTTGGATGGTTAGCTGACATACTGGCAAGCTTAAACTTACTCAATGCGTAACAAGTTCTGATATAAAGTGGTTTGTTCCAACTCTTTGAGTAGTGGACTCGAAGAAGGACGTTCTCTGATCCTCATTGTAAATTGTAGAATCGTGACCTTTATCCCTTTGTAGTGGAACAGGTATCCGCTGTGTAAAGACATGTGATAACGGTCATCGGAAGTGCCTATTTGATGGTTTTTGACCCTGTAGGGAAAACATGGGTTCGACTTCATTCACCGAAGCCACATTGACCAAATCCAAGCTTATCGCTATGCTCTCTGTGGACATCTTTAAGGAATAATCATCTGGCTTTTCGTAAAGCGTCACTGAGCCCTCTCAAAGAGCATGTCGGTCAGATTTTTGTAGACTCAACTGTATCACTGAGCACTATTCCATTAAAGATAGTGCATATGATTTGTAAAGCCAGCTAAGAGATTCCATGAGTTAAAGACGATGGCATGTGTGTTGAATGGTCTCCATAGCCTTCGAAAATTGGATGTCACAATGTTTAGAAAAGTTGAAGGAAACAGAATTTCGTACGCTAAAGTTTCAAACAGCCCTGCTGTGCGAGATGCATGTTCTTTGCAATAATAGACTGTCCGGTGGTATTTGGCATTTGTACGTTAGAATACCGCAATTGTGCACGTCAAGTGACATCTGCCACAGTTGCCACCAGGATTCAAGGGCAGATATGTCATCCTGAATGAGGCGTAGAGCAGCCTGGGTATTTGCGCGCATTTTATTCACTATGGCAGCCGTTCACAACCAGCAGAAACTTCCATTCTTTCCAATGGCACCTAATGCAGCGGATCGCCATATTTCAGCCACACCAATGTGTGTTGTATTAGCTGTAGAACAATAAAACTATATCACATTTATCAAGTACAGTAACAAATATAAAACTATTTTACTAGGAAAATACGTGGCGGTAAACTCTTTTATATGGATATATATATTCTACTTTCATGTGAAATTTTAGTTTGAATTTCAGCGCTATAGACTGGTGGAACGCTACCGTTTAACACCATAGAAGCAACAAGTGGGTTAATTGTCGTGTTTCGTAGTATTCACCTTGTGTCTGAACTGCAACACACAATCTTGATTGGGAGCACGGTTTACTTTGAAGCCAGTCTGTGTAATTCCAATCACTGGGATCGAATCCGACCGAAATGAAAGGTTTCGATATGGCTGTGTCCCCTCACTGTGCCGCACAACCATTTTCACCCTGCTTTGCATGTCACAATCGTGACATAGAGTAGACACTCCAAAACCTAACAGACAAATTTCAACCCCTGTTTCAAGCGCTTCAGGTGGAGCTCAATGGCTTACTGATCGCGGCGTTTGCAACCAACCCCGCATCGTGCTATATCTGCCTAAAGAACTCAAACAAGAAGGTAGCCGGTCATGGAAGAATTCAGCACCGAAACCCTCAGCTACTTAATTTCATTTCGCTCCTAACTGTCAATATCATTCCGACCAAACACGTGTGCTGTAGAAGTATGCTTCCACCGGTAAGATTTTGTGCATATGACATACTACTAGGGGCATCACTGATTTATAGTATTACAACAATGTGAACTCGCATGTTGTGGAATTCAGAGCGGAGTGCCTGGTTCTACGAACCAACAGAGAGGCGCCATTGTACGATGGCTATCCTAATGGCATTTGTTTGACACAAATAACAAAGCCACAATTATTGTTTTATTTACGGCAAATACTGGGAGCGACCAAGCTTCACTATGTGCCATTTGCGGTTCGAAGTGAGTTTGTGTCGCATGCGCTTGATATAAATCGCTCAACATTACACTCTTGACCGTTGTGGCAAGCACTAAGTGCGGCGTTTGGTGGTGAGAAGGTAGGAAAGTCTACTGGATATTTGAACGCTCCGTGTTCGAGTACAAGTCTGGCTAACTAAACCTGAAGAGTGAGGGCAATAATAAAACGATTGATGGAGTGTAGCCTGTAGAACACGTAAGACAGTATTTATCAACCTCAGGTACAATCCACGCAATCGAACTGATCGGAGTCTACTTCAACTTAACTATTAAACTAAACTGAAACTACCTGACGCAATCTGTTATTATGTACTATATTGATGAAATAATGAAAGTCGTCCATTTTGATTGCAGTTGGAAGTACGCGCAATGGAGTGGAAGTCAGAAGAGGCTGCAATTCGTGAGCAGGAGAAAAGGGATAAGATCCGAGAAGTTGTTAAAGAGTTTTTACCTCAGTATATCAGGCAGACAGCAGCAGATTCGTCCGTTCCCCGTGGGGCCACAGAAGACACTGCTGGAAAGTCTCGAATCAGAGCTACAGCTACTTTGCCAACGAAACCTAGGCAAGCCAAATCGACAGAGAAGCCGGAGAGAGCTGAAACTGAGAGACAAGTAACCGCAGTGGTCAGCCGACCAGAGGGTGAAATCGCAACGACGAGAGCTCGACCTGCGTTGAATTTGGCTGTCCAACCTGGGGACAAGCCAACAGTTGATCGAAAGGTTAGCACGACTCAGATAATTTTGCAGAAGACCAAGGATCACCCGCAAACCATTGCCGACAGTGGGCAGGTGATTAAATCTACCTTGATATCAGTGCCTGCAGACGTCTACTCACATCCAGGCGGTGATAACATTCCGAAGAGGCAATCATTTCAAATCGATCCCAAATACACCGATGCGTCAAAGATAACTTACATACCTACACCAGGACCGTCCGTCCAGCGAAAAACATCTCATTTGAGGCCTGCGGTTATTCAAGAACCGTCATCCACGCACTCCGAACAAGCGAAGGGAGTACCTTCGCGAACAGAGACAGCATCCAGTAGAACGCAGAGTGAATCGTCCGTTGAAAGTGCCTCATCCGCTTCTACATCAGCTCCGAGAGCAAGGTATTTTGTTCAGTTTGTTTTGTAGCCAAATAGCAGCCATTTTTGAAGGAAGAAAATACGCCAATCGTTGTCACGCTATTAGCCAACGAACGGTAGTCTTAAAGATTTGTTCTTATGATTCCATCCGCCTTAAAATTAAAGTCTTAGAGAGCAGTCACAGAACATAAGGACAGATAGCCATTCAGTCTTTAGGACACAATTACAGTGCTTTTAACTGAAAAACTGCAAATAACATTACTAAGTTAAAACAGTTAGTTTCCTACAACACTTTGAATAACACAATGAAAAGACGAGCACTAGTAGACGCACGCATTTTGTATTTTCTCGTCAGTAACAACACAATAATAAGAAATAATCTCACACCGTTCAAACGGCGTTACCAACCAATCAAATGCAGTGAAGTGAACGGCGGTGATGGTCCTAGGATCAAGACAACCGAGGATCAACAAGTGATTGTTTTTGTACACACACATGGCAAGTCTTCTCTGGCTTATCGCCACGGCCTCGGCGAACCGAAAGAAGTGTGGATTGAGATGACTTAATAACATCGGGAACTCGGAGTCGGGGTCAATCCGAGGATCGGGCAACAAAACATGTCTGCCTATTGATGATGCTGGGGGCTTGCGTGTCCGCGGAATATTGGGCAATGGTTTGTTACCTTCCGTTACTTGACCTAACGCTGAACCCAGTTGGGCAGGTTCTCCCTCACTCTGGAAGTCAACAGCTTCAGTTTTGTCCACGTAACTGACTCTGCAATTACATTCAGCTGGGTAAATACCGAGTGATATGGCCCTGATGGGTTCCTCTTCATTTACGGAAGGTAGCGACATGTTCTGAGTCCTGCCGATCACCCCAGCATCCGCAGCAGAGTAATTTCTCTGAATGACAGTGATTAACCGCTTGGTTGTTTTTGTTGTGGTGGAGTTATCCTTAAACTAGAGCTATTCTTAGGTGCCGTCAAAGCCGTTTCCTTCGGCGGTCTGACCTGGCCATATTTCTCGGTGGAGCGTGTAGGGTAACCGTTTTCCATAAGTGTTCTAATTATTGTCTCTATCACCTCGGCCAGATAACCGCTCAACAAAATGTACCTGGCCGTGTGAAAAACGTTTACACTAGTGCACACTTGTGGCCCGTCGGTGTGAAATTGGTAAAGTGTAGATATTGACTGGACCATGTTGGTTTCCGGTGGACGGACCGCTAAACTAGTGTAATATACCATCGGCTGACGAGAATGTCCACGTACGGCAGAAATTCATCCATTGTATATTTACGAGGGACTTTTAACTTGACATGGACGCTATTAAGCTGTTGCAACCGGCGCTCACTTTGCAGTGTCGAGGAACAGAACACAAAAATGTCCTCTACATAACATTTAAAGTAAGATAGTTGAGCGATCTCTCCAGTTGAGCTCCTTTCTAGCATTATCCTAAAGGTCATCCTAACGGAACGCCCATAGCTACTCCAACGATTTGGTGGGATGAAGTATGTGGGAAAGGGAATCCAACGTTTTCTATGCAGAGAAACAGAGACTGTGAATAAGTCTGTCGGTATTTGCATATTGAGTTTTTAGACAGCAATCAACTTGCATATGTAATCGATTGTCTCGATCAAAGGGACATTATAAAACAGTTATTGAAAGCCTAAAGAACACATGACTTTGTTGGATAGGTTAGTTTAATCGAGATCTTCTATGAATCCGAAGGAATCTCTAAATCCGTGTAGACTGAATTGTTATCTGATTGAGGATAAGATTCCGACTAACTAAAGCGCAGGTTTATGCTGCGAGGAAGACACCATCGACCAAATTGGTCAAAGTGGAATCCTTTCCTTGTGTATGTTTAGCAACCAGTACAGCTGTGGGGTTGATGAGTCATTCGGCTTCACATTTCTTCACTTATTTCCTGATCTCAATCCCAGCTTCTTGCGGTTCGCCAAGGCAGTGATGATGAGCCAGCTAAGATTTGCCATGTGTGCGTGCAGAAACACTGTTTCAATCTCGGTTGTCCTGATCCAATAACCATTACTGCCGTTCACCTCACTGTATTTGATTGGTGGAAAACGCCATTTGAAAGGTATGCTATTATTTATTACTGTATTGGTACTGATAAGACGATAAGGCATCCGCACATCTACCAACGTTGCTAAAACCGGTTCCCAACAGGTCATGCATTAAAATAACATAAAATGTATATTCCTCGGCGATGCGAGGCACAGTCCACCTATGTGGTCTGATTAACGTGTACAGCAGGATCGCGCAAAATAAGCAATTGTTTACGCTTCATACAATGAGTCCGAAACGGATATTATAGTAATTGGCAAGCTTAAGATATTAAAGAAATCGAAAATCCGGGAGCAATAACAGGTACAGATTTAAGCCAATGTCCTAATAAACTAATACCGCCAGCCGTGGAACCGTCCCCAGAATACCTGCTTCTACGCAGGCTATTCCCTCGAAAGGGTTCACCCGCACTTCCATGCTACACCTGGCTGCGCGCCGGTGTTGCAAAGTAGCATAGAAGCCATCACCTGTTTATAGGTTTTCGTTTTAGGGCTGGTTTTATGCATGCATTATGGGCGATGAAGCGTCAGCCCATTCCGTCATGTGGATCATTAAATTATGGAACTTTTTTATACGCCAATCGGTTGGTGGCAATGTACCCATGCATAGATATGGTTTTTAAAATCGGGTAGCTTCAATCCGTCACCTCAGGAGATCAGCCCATTCGTGGCCAGCAGTGAAATAAGGAAGAATGTAAAATAAGTAAAATTGAGTGCAATAGGTATTCTACGTTAATGCCAAAAATAAGCTGATATGTTTTAAGGCAGCACAAAAATGGATCGAGCCGATCATACCATCTAATTGTGTGGCGTGGCAGCCGGAGACAGATAAATGCACGAGTTGTCCATAGGCAAAAGTTAAACGGGGATTCCTACATCGCCATCACTGGATTCCAGTATATGTTTCTGAACTGTTAACTCCAGAAATGACGGGGAAACGTTTGGCACTGCAGAACTAATGTAGCGAAGGAAATCGCAGCGCAAATATAACGAAGTAATCAATTTGAGAGGAGAATTAAGAAGATAGTTCCTGACCCCATACTAGTAATTAATTTTACTCTCGGTTTTAGATCAGCAGGCAGTTGGTATGAATTAAGTTTGAAAGGAGTAAACCGCAAAGGAATTTGTGCTAAAGACTAGCATATGAAGCTGTTGTCGCAGTTCAACCTAAATGACCAAGTTTGCCCTGGTGCATTTATTGAATATATTCCCAGTCGATATTCTCTGGTATCATACATGATTCGGCCCTTCTTCATACAAATATTCATCAGGTTGAATTCTTAAGATCCATGTCACTTTGTCGGTTGACAGAGAAATCTTTATCATTTTCTTGAACATGCAAAGATGTTCAATACATCTAATTTCTTTTGGCAGCTTATTCCATATGAGCCATACCTAAGAAGATAGAAATTTCAGCTTAGGCTGGTCCTGAATTTAGGTAAAGAGACTATACATTCACTATCTCGCAGTTCATAACTAGTATTTTCCCGAGAGTGCCATTGATAGGTCCCAACATGCGCTTTCCACCTCACAAGTTTATGGAAGAAACACAAATTTAAGCGCATTCTTCCTAACCACATATGTTCAAGACTCAGCTCCTTGCACCTATATCTGTATGAAAGAACAAGCAGATATACGCTTTGTGAAGGCACGTTGAATGTTTTCTATGGCCCTCAAATCACACTTGTGCACGTCGCTGAACGTAACACAGAAATATTTAATCAAAGGTCTGATACTTATTTTGAAACCAATTTGTCTGGTTTCTTTCAAGGTTGGCAGGTGGCATATGAGCCCGATGGAGTGCTCAGCCTTTTTCACGATATGATTTGTGTTTGCTAAAGTTTAACGAACTAGACTACCTCAAACACAAGTCGCGGACAGACTGGCTAATAGGAATGACTTCGCCATGAAACCTGCACAATTCGGCTCCTATCTGACATCCATACGCCAGAATACTACACTTTATAATACTTGGTTATTTGGCAACTGGGTGAAGCACAGCTCAACTAAGCTGGTCCGATCATTGGTACAAAACAAAAGCAGACTGGTTTTACAAAATTGCTGTACAAAAACACTTTGGTTCCATTTACATTAGTTCTTGCGCCTTTGAATTCGTTTCAAAATCCGTCGGAATCCTCGACAATTGCCAAACATTCAGATACCTTTATGCTGATGGTTGGGAAAAGAACGCAGGATAATAAAGTAGTGGGAGGTGAGTGAAACTATGTACATGGAAAATGTAAGTTAAGAATTCATAACATTGGTATATGACAATAATTTATAAATAGTGAAAGTATGTGAGCAGACACGATAACGTGACCGACGGTAAAACAGAACCGCATCCATCATGAGACGAATCAATTAGAATTAACGACTTACACAAGAAGTAAGATGTGATAACACAGGATATGTGGAAAGGCGTGTATAAATTTGATGGGTTAGTTGAGGCCATCAACAATTCACCCTTTCAGTGGGTCCATGTCTTGCAGGCACTCATGTCTTTCACCTAGCTGTGTAATAGAAAAGAGGCACTATTCGAAAGCTTAGGGAAATGCTTGCTTTATCAACCCATCAATGTGCGCATCTTTTTTAAATGACATCAGTGGGTCTTCAAGCACATTCATAAACCGTTAATATGAAGAAAAAATCGAAGATAAATCCCAACTATCCAACTCATTGATCGGCCCATGTTTTCATAGATCACTAACGGGCAGTCAATCTGAGTAACACGATGAATATAACAATATAGACAGAAAATCAGAGATGGATCTCATTTATCCAATCTATCGATTTACTAGTTGTCATAGGTCACCGGTGGATCATCAATTTGAGTAGTCGAATTATGTGACAAAGTGGGAGGAAGGAATGAGCGACAAATTTAAGTTATCTAGCAAGAACAATTCATGATGATGGAATACTGTATTTCACTTTGCGTCGACAAG